AGTAAACGATAAAAACGATAACAAAATAACGCTGAAAACCGATAAAAACCCTGAAAACTATACATTTTATACACTATACAAGCTCAGATGTTGGCTTACTCCACTCGTTTTAATCCGCACTTTAAAAACAGTTTCAAATCGTATAAAGCAGCAAAAAGCTATAACATGTTTTTACTGCAAACTGTGTGTCTGAAATCTAAACACTAACAGAATATGATAAAACAGCACGCGCTGGAATGATTATACTCTGACACGTTGACGACCCTGGACAGGTTGCCAGCCTGCCACGGGGCTAACACACAGACAACCATTCACACCTATGGGCAATTTAGAAAACTCCACAGGAATTGAACTCAGGACCTTCTTCGTATGAGGCAACAGTGCTAACCACCGTGCAACCATACTGCCTGTTGTTAAAAAAATATCTATAATTTGACAGAGCTAAAAAAAACACAAAAGAAGAAATAGTAAGCCTAAAAACTACAGCAGATGAAGAGTATCTGAAAGTCATGACCTTAAGACAAAGGAACATATCCAGGAAAGACCTGACACAGGATGCATCTGGACCTTTAGCTGATTCATCTACTGTTAACTGAAGCCTCATCATAAAGGGTCTCAGTAGAGGGGTGGCTGTCAAGAAGCCATTTTTAAGGAAGGGAAACAGGGAGAAAAGGCTGAAGTATGAAAATCAGAAATGTGGCAACTCTTGAGTGATGGATCTGACCATTGCTTGAAATCATCATCCACAGCATGTCATTGTCCTGTCTTCACCCCCCCCCCCCCCCCCCCCCCCCATCCCTAATCGGTTGCAGCAGATGGCTGCCCGTCCCTAAAACCTCGTTCTGCTGGAGGTTTCTTCCTGTTAAAAGGGAGTTTTTCCTTCCTACTGTCACCCAAGCCCTTGCTCATAGGGGATCATATGATTGTTGAGGTTTTGATGCAACTGTTGTTGTGATTTGGTGCTATACAAATAAAATTTAATTAAGAATTGAAATTAATTTAGGTATATACAGAGCAGGTCAGGAGAGAAGTACAACACTGAGTGTCTACAGCAGGGGTGTCGAACTCCAGGCCTCGAGGGCCGGTGTCCTGCAGGTTTTAGATCTCACCCTGGGTCAACACACCTGAATCAAATTATTAGTTCATTACCAGGCCTCTGGAGAACTTCAAGACATGTTGACTGGCCCTCGAGGCCGTGAGTTCGACACCTGTGGTCTACAGCCATCTGTAAAACACGGTGGAGGCTCTGCCATGCTTCAGGCTCAGCCAGTGGTTTTGGAGGTTTTGTCAAAATTGATGGAATTATGAACACAGCAAAGTACCACCAGATATTGATCCATCATGCAATACCATCTGGAAAGCAACTGATTGGCACAACTTTATTTTTCATCGTGACAATGATCCCAAAGACACTGCCAATCTGGATAGAAAAGCACACAGTGGAGCACTGTCAGTCATGGCCTCTGT